GTAGTGGTAGTGGTAGTGGTAGTGGTAGTGGTAGTGGTAGTGGTAGTGGTAGTGGTGGTAGTAGTAGTAGTAGTGGTAGTAGTAGTGGTAGTAGTAGTAGTAGCAGTAGTGGTAGTAGTAGTAGTAGTGGTAGTGGTAGTAGTAGTAGTAGTAGTAGCAGTAGTAGTAGTAGTCGGAGTAGGTGGGAGTAGCAGTAGCAGTAGTAGTAGTAGTAGTAGAAGTAGTAGCAGCAACAGCAGCAGCAGCAGTAGTAGTAGTAGTAGTATAGTAGTAGTATAGTAGTAGTATAGTAGTAGTATAGTAGTAGTATAGTAGTAGTAGTAGTAGTAGTAGTAGAAGTAGTAGTAGTAGTAGTGGTAGTAGTAGTATTAGACGTAGTAGCAGTAGTAGTAGTAGTAGTAGTAGTACTAGTAGTAGTAGCGGCAGTAGTAGCAGTACTAGCAATAGTGGTAGTAGTAGTCGTCGTCGTAGTCGTAGTCGTATAGTCGTAGTCGCAGTCAGTCGTAGTAGTAGTAGTAGTAGTAGTAGTGGTAGTGGTAGTGGTAGTGGTAGTGGTAGTAGTAGTAGTCGTCGTGGTCGTCGTTGTCGTTGTTGTTGTTGTGGTGGTAGTTATAGTGGTAGTGGTAGTAGTGGTAGTAGTGGTGGTGCTATTGGTGGCGGTGGTAGTAGTAGTAGTCGTCGTCGTAGTAGTAACTAATTGTTGTTGTTGTTGTTGTCGTCGTTGTTGTCGTCGCGTAGTTGTTGAGCTCGCTGCATCCAACCCCATTTCTTAGGGAGCTTAGCAGACTAGCCCTCTCTTGACACCAAAAACTCACGGCTTTGTACTACGTGCCAGGGCTGGTTCATGTATGCGACAACGAACACTTTAGTCAGCGTGGTTTCGCGTCAAAAATAACTGAGTCTCTGACTCTAACCGCATTCTCTCCTTGCTATTTGCTTCTGTAGCAGACATGGCTCGGTTGCTATCACACGTCTGCACTGACAGTCGGAACATGGCCAATTAACTACAGGAAGCTCTGGGTGAACGCCAACATGTGGCCAGTTTGGACTGTTGACCCCCGAATGATCCCAAGTATTCATACAACAGACCTGGTTTGACTGATGCACGCTTTATGTTCTTGAGTTCATACGTCTATCTTATATATATATACATGTCTATATATAGATATATATCGTCTACATATATGTACATACTAAAAAATAGAAATGTATAAGGTGTAAAGACACAAACACATGTATGTATGTTTGTATGTATGTATGTATGCATGCATACATGCATGTAAGTAAAAAATATGTATATGAAGTTGTTAATTCACTTGAAGCCACTTCTATGAGCATGGCAGCACTTGTGTTGCAGTTCCTCTCCTCCGAGCTTGTTAGAGGAGTGGCTTATCGTCAATCACTGCCGCCAAGTTTGTGGCGAGCAACGGCGGTGCAAGATTTTAAAAGTTGGCTCACGCCCACAAAACCCACTCTTTGCTGCGCAAGTACTCAGCGCACGCACCGTTGCTCTGTATCTCAGTCAGTCTTGTAGGTCTAGCGGTCGTAGTTTGTAGTTCTTTGAAACTTGCAGCTCTGGGTTAATCAGCCAAACGCCTCTGATCTTTCTATGCCTTGTCCCCAAATTTTGGGGCGCCACCAAATCAGTCAGGGAGGGCACCACGATCACACCCAAATGTCCAGTGTCAGAATTGCCACAAAAGCAGCGAGAACTAATCTCTGGTTTATACTGTAGTAAAATCGTGGTTTGCCTCTACTGATTCTCACAACAACCGCTTTTCAGTTGCTAGTGGGCTGGCTCTGGCTGGTGACACAACTTGCTTCCAGAACATTCAGTTGGTTGAAAGTGAGTCCAGACAATGTTAAGAGCTTTAGACTTTAGAACAATCATGAACCATCTGACTTCCAACACACGAAGGCTGCCTGGAGCAAGTCGAATGCTGGAAACGATCAGCAGCATCTAGGCCAAGCAAACTCTGATGATTAGGCCGATTGCTCGTCTCGTTTGCATTAGCTATTGGGGGATTCCACAAAAGAAAACAATGAGTTTGGTCCCCTACTTACACTACTTTACAAACCCATCTACCGTACATGATACCCTGCCACCACTGATGCTGCCACACAGTTGTCATCCCCATGGTTTCTGTGGCATTAAATTGAAATTGAGAGGGGCGCTGCTTTGGCACAGCCACTTATCTCGCTATTATTTCCGATGCTGCCACCAAATGGTACCCAGGTTGGAACACACCCCTTTGCTTGGCCGCAGCACGAACTAAGTTGCCGCGTCAGAGCTTGAACGCTTACACAAAGCATGCAGCAGCCTGAGGTCTTTTTGGCGGATCTATGTTTCGTTGTAGATGGACAACGCAGAAACGATGCATTGGGCGCCACCAAACTTCGTGAGCAAAAACACTGCGAACGCAGAAATCACCCGCTTTCAAAAAAAAACTCATCTCTGGACATCTGGATCAAATAAACTCGACACTGACGTGACCCCTCCATACATGCTCACTCCCCACCCCACCTGCTCAGCTGCGAGGAGTAGTACTTGAAGTTCGGGAGCTCTGGGGTGCCCTTCCTACCCTGCCACGCCTCTGCAAACGCAATTGAAAACAATCAATTGTGGGCGCATGAAGTTCACTGCTGGTAGCGCTGAATCATGGGGACTTCAATCTGGCAAAGATTATGATGCGGCCGTGGAGAGTTTGGAGCACCTGCGCATGTAATATCACGTAGTCCTTTATGTTACTTGTATTGACATTGCCAGCGGCTTTGTAGGTTGCTACTTGGTGAGTCACAAGAGCCACATACACAATCCCTACATCGTGCTTGGAAATGCAAGAGTGATCAATCGCGACAGCAATCGACAATTGATGGTACGCAGGCGGCGCTGCGTGTTGAACTCAATATACACGGTACTTGCACGGGCACGAGTCTGCACAAAAGCCCAACCATCTCCAGGGAAAATGAAATAGCCTGCTGCAGAAAAGCATAACAGAAAGAATCAGGAATCATGTTGGATCATTTTGGGGGTATGTTGCTCTGTTGCGGTTGCGGCACTGGCTCAAGGAAGCAGCCGCATCGCAAAAAGGCTTTCCCCATGAGCACGAGCACGCCGTTTTGAAACGTGGAAGCTTGGATCCGTGACGTCGCCTTGATTGCTTCAAGCTCATAGACGCGCACCAGACTGACAAGTCCAACCCAAATACGCTTCGTTTTGCCCCACACTCTGGAGCAACATGACATCAAATAAAAAATTGCCAAGGCATACATTGATGCTGGACAAGGGCACCGGACGGGCACAGACCCATCCTGCCACAAAAGTTCAAGCTTGGACTCGTACCTGCTTTGTGCTCTCACCTGTGAGGAATGGCAATGTCTAGTCCAGCCCACATCTGCTCAAAGTGCGGGCAGGTGTCCAAGTTGCGAAGGCCATCAAAGGCCTGATGAGCCCTCCACCGCATCGAAACAATAAACCGTAGGAGCAGCCACCGGTCTACTTGCCGCCTGCAAATTTATCCTTGGAGAAGTTCCCATGGCTTTGCTACGCTGCAACGAAGGAGGCCTAGTTTTGACCTGCTGAAGGACAGCAGCATCTCCGGAATAAAGCACGAACAGGAACAGGGGGAGTGATGTTCATCAATTGTGAGCAAGTACAAAGTGGTTTGGGTTGCAGATCACAGAACCACACTGTAACTGGCACGCTGGGCGTCAAAAAGGCGATGATTCGGGCCACGGAGAATGACAGCCAAGCGCAGTGGAAACACCGCATGTTGAGAGACCTGCCAGGCTTCTGTGCCAAAGCTGATTTCTGGACCGAGAACCCAACCGAGATGCTGAAGTCAGAGGTGTGCCCCTCAGTATGGTCATCCTGCACTATCGTCCCTGCATCATGAGAGGAAGAGGAGGAGGACGGTAGTTTTCTTTGCTCAGAGTTCATTGTTCTGGAACGGCTTGAACCCGTTTGACTACGTTTGACCTTTTGACTGTTCAAAAGGGTCGAGGACGCTTCTCGGCTTAAGACTGCCATGAGGGCAAATCTGTTTGCTGCTGATACTCTTGTCAAGATTCTGTCTGTGTTGATTAGCCAGAGTTCACAAAAGGGAGTTTCCGTAGAAGATTCTTTGGGCAACGACGAACAAATTGTGCCAAGATGTGAACGGTATAATGTATATGCTGAATTACGCCGCACATGTTACCAATACATAGACGTGAGCATCCGAGCCAAAGACCACAGCATTGAGATGACCGTGGCATTTTGGTAGCATTGATTTGGGTGATTCTGAAGTCGAAGGCCAAGTAGCCAACTCGCAATCACCTTTTTCGCGTAAGGCCTGCTGAGACCTTCACGAGCGAGGTAACCGCTTTGTTCTTTCTGCGCGTGAGGGCGAAGACGGGCCTGTAGGAGTAGCGATAGCGACAGTTCGTATAGTGTAGAGAGAGCGGGATCAACCATGGCACCACTTTGGCGCGAGTCTGGCCCATGTCCGCAGGCTTGGGCATTTGAGCCTCCTCGTTTCTGCCGCTGCGAGCTCCACCAGTTCCGGGCCTCCTTCCAAATGTCCAAGTTCCACTGCGCCTGCGCAATCTTCAGCATCCTCTCTAGCAGCACTTGCGCGAGCTGCTGGATGCCTGAAAACTGCGTTGATGGTGCCCTGTTCTTGGCGCTGTTTCCATTGTTGCCCACCACGCAGTTGCTGTTCATCTGGAAGAAGATCACGAAGCTGTCGGTCTGGGCCATGGGCTGGAGTTGACCTTCGTGACGAAGAGCCAGGGTTGTCATGGATCTGAAGAGCTCCCTGGTGTCTCTTCGCGCTGCTTGTGTCTTTTGGCTGGTTTGAAGTCGGGCATACGGCATACTGTTGAAGTGTTGGATCAAGATGTTGAAGAGGTGAGCTTGCGTATCTGCCAGATTGATTGCGACTCAGCCACAGGCCAGCGCTGCAGCTTGTGCGAGCTGGGTTGGGCTGGAGCCATGCAATCATAACCGACGTCGTCAACCGTCAACCCAGCCACTGAGATGCATGTTGGAATGCTGCTCTCCCCACACCAACATCGCATGCGTTTCGCTCTCTGGAAGCTTCAGCCCAGCAAGCGCCAGCGCTCTACCCGTACTTCGAAGCACCTAGGTTTGAAGGCGTGTGGACAAGCTCACTGCTGTCACGCAATCCGTCAGATGGCGCTTCTGATTTACCACCACCTCTGGGCCCTCTTCCTGATCATGCAAAGCGGAAGCGTACCGCTGCGACTTGCCCTGGCCTATCGAGTGGATGACATTCTGGCGAGTCCTCGGTTTTTGGCGGCTCTCCAGGTCCTGCGTGCTCCGGGGCAGGCAATCAAAGAATCCTCACGCGCCTGCAATAGGATCCAGCGCTCAAGACCTTGATCAACGTTTCATCTGGAGGGACAGGCCATGGGACGGCCTTGCAAATGTGGCAACAGCTACACGAAGAAGGGTCGGAACTGTGTGATCGATCTGTGCGCAAAGTTCCACCTCTGACACGTCCTCTGTGCTCCAAGCCCCACTCGAGATCAAGCCCACCAGCCTTGGGCTTCGAGTCAACTGCAAGAAGACCGCCTTCATTGCCACAGATGCGCAAAGCAGCAGGCACTCAAATCCTTGAAAACAAGACCATGAGCCCCAGTGGCATCAGACACAAGTGATCTCGGCGTTGACCACCAGGCACAGCCCCCCGTGAGCAACTTCTATAGGGCCCTCTGGCGTACATGTATGCGTGGGGTTGGGGCACCACTTGTTTTTTACTGTAATTGAATCAAAAAGTTCCTTTCCACTGGAGATGCTTCTGTTGCAAACCAGACATTGAGCGCGAATCCTCTGCATCCAGAGGATGTTCCACGAGCGCTGTCAAGGCCTGCTTCTTGGAGAACTCTCATAGTTCTTCATTGTCTGCATAGGCCACCTGCCACGAGCGCATATGATCAAAACGATGGCAGTGACCACGCTGCACGCGCGTGACAAGGCCTCTCCAGGCGGCAAAGGTGTGTTCACAGCGTCGACATTGACTGGTGCCTCTTTAACAGTCTCGGAGCACTTGGAAGTATTGATATTTGGAAAGATGTCTATTCAACCCTTCCATTGAACTGAGAACTTTTCTCAGTAGGGACATTGATGCTCCTCTGCAACGGGAACACCAGCCCCAGTGGCCTCGAAAAGACGTAGAAAACGGGTTTTTGAGAGGCAAGTGGTAGCTGATGCAAGAAGTCACTGGCTGCCAAGCTTGATCTGAGGCGCTCAAGTCTGTGACAGTAGGTGGTCCAGGCATCCTGCAGAAATTGTTTGGGTGCTCTGTGGATTCACGTGTAAGAACAGGCGACCTCGCTACTTCTGAAATTTGCCGTCCAGAAATTTTATTGTCCTGCGTAATTCCTGAGTTGCCAAGACCATGGCTGCAGGATGCGTGGACACACGTTTGCGAAGGTGACCCCTATCCCAAGTGGAAAGATGTTTCCCCGTGAAAAGACACTTGACTGGTTAGAAAACCGATGTACCGAAATGCGAACTCCCAGATAAGTGAGAACATCGACAACTTGAAACCAGGTTTTAGTGTTTGTTCTCGGGATAATCATCCACACGCCAGTCGCTGTTTTCTGCGCCATCTTCTTCGCGACAGTCCTGGCCTTCGAGCCTGCAAGCCGAAGTAGGAGGACAGTTTTCTGTGTGTTGACGAATGACTCCAACCTGTCAAGAATGTGTCCAATCTGTCTGAGCGCTTGCTGTAAGTAAGTCATGTTCACTTTCAATGAGCCATTTTCCAACGATGTAATCAGCATATGGCATATGCCAGAAACTGTGTTGGCTTTGCACCGAGCGCAAGCCTGTTGATCTGCCGGATGGATTAGGGCTGCTATTTGACACAGTACGAAGGCTAGGAAAGTGTTCCGAAGGCTGCGTTGTCGAATACCACAAGCTGCGCGCACCTAACGAAATCTCCACGGTGTTGCAACTCAATAGGCGTACCATGAAGCCATTGCTGGATCACTGTAATGAGCTCTGGTGGGCACCCAAAGACATGAAAACTGGCACAGTCCAGAGACAACATCAGGCCTCCACACAGAACCCATTCAGTTCGGCTGCTTGTTGGCAAGTTTGTCATACCTGAGAGCAGAAGCGGAATGCCATCATCAAAGATTCAGGTACTCCTCTGCGTGGCAAATAAGAAAGCATTGGGAGTTGAACCAAAAATGGCTCTGCCCACTCCACAGGTGAGGGCGATGGGCTTCAAGTGAACCGCTGTCTCTTGGCCAGCAAAGCTAGATTTCAAACCAGGTCAAAAGCCACTTGGCCAAAGAGGGCACCAATGTTCTGATGAGCAAGGGCGGCAGTGTGGAGCCACTGCTTTGTGAAGGGGAGCGCGCGTGAGACGCTACAGAATATCATCGTATTGTAATACAATGGGTGCGCTGCACAAGGTGGCCGTGGTGAAGATATCTTTGAAATGCTGGAGTAGTAGATCGTTCTTGCGCTGCCTCAGGAAGTCCTCCAGAAACCTGTCGAAAACGGATTGTTCGTCGTGGCTGTTTTGGACTATAGTGCACGAGCGTCATGGTGTCTGGCAGCATGTTGGGCTCGATCAATCACTTCCTGTACTTTGTCACGTTTATCTTTGTTGACAGTGCTTGCGGAGGAGTCTTCGAAGGAGAAGGTGTCGGTGTACACGGCGCCATACACGAAAAGCATGAGAGAGTTGAGAGGCCAGTCGTCAAGATGGTTGTCGCGCAAACCACAGGTGTTTCTATTTCAGTGCAACATTAGAACGAGCGCTGTCCTCCATCCAAACCGGTGGTTTGGCCAGAGCAGGTCTGGCGAAAGTGGGGTGACATAGGCGGACAATGGCTCTAGTGGGTTTGGCAACATCCAAGTAACGCGTTTGGTCAAGAACTCGTTGAGCTTGGGTCAGAAAATGGTTCCATCTGGGTGTGTCAAGCTGCTGCTCAGCTTTCAGAGTACTAAGGTCCTGCCTGGTCAAGGTGGTGACTTTCCCCGGGGTCGATTGATACCAGACCTTCCAGCCAGTGGGGACACTGCAAGGAATTGGAAGATGGTCCGCAGAAAGCACCACGTGCCAAGTTATCCGTCTGGGCTCGCCTCATGAACACATAGTCGATGAAGGAGCTGCCCTTGGAGACGTGAGGAGTGTGCAAAGTCACGAAGCGCCATAGGATCAGGATGGCCTGCGCTGTGTTGAGGTTGGAGAGAGGAGTTGAAGTCTCCAGTTAAGACGAGCAGGTTCCGAATGGGCATGGAGTGAGCAACCTGTTCAAGAGTTTCCCGCAACTCGGATCTGGCCTTGCCGGGTTGCACGTCTTCGTAGCGTTCACTGGGCGCTGGTAGACATTGATCAAGTCCAGAGTTCCCTATTTGGTTTGGCACCAAACGTGAAGACGACGACCCGGGATCACTGATCTGAAACTAATGTGGTGTTCATCAGATAGCTTCTGATGAACAAGAGTCAGCAATCCTGCATGATCTCTGGCCTTCACTGAGCCCAGGGTTCCTCAATCGTCCATCTAGCGCCCTGTACTTGAAGAATGTCCAAATGTTGAAGGCGGTGGGCACAATTCATCATCTCAGTCCAAGTTTCGGCGCTCAAGGAGCCACAGTTCCAAGACACGCAGGTGACCCTGGGTCGACATCTCGAGGGAGTCGAAGGTGTGGTCACCAAAGCAGGTCTGGGAGTAGCGGAGGTCAAAATTCTGCCACGATATAGGGCAATGCTACGCAGTCGAAGTCTCCTTTGTGCTCTGTCAAAGCTCCTTTTGAGTGGTGTCCCGGGGGAAGCATGATGCCCTTGGCCAAGAAATTCAGATGGGTTCCTGGGGTATCAAAAAGAAGATCTGCCCCTATGTCTTGGCCCATCCTCCACTCTCACCTCTGCCTTCCCAAGAGCTAGAAAAAGTCATGACTCATGACTCATGATAAGCATCTTCAAGGGGAAGGCCCGGGACTTGGGACCCGGCGCACTCCAGAGTTGGCCAGAAGCAATCTGGTTCAGGATGATGCTCACCACAATCAACCAGCAACACTAGGATGGCAAGACATCCAGTCTGCAACCGGGCTAGATAGATAGAGAAATAGATAGATAGATCGATAGATGGATAGATAGATGGCTCGATGGCTCGATGGCTCGATGGATGGTTGGGTGGGTGGGTGGGTGGGTGGGTGGATGGATGGATGGATGGATGGATGGATGGATGGATGGATGGATGGAT